TTAAAAAACAATGGTACTTTTCCCAGGGAAAGTGTGGCCACCCTGTGCCGTCTGGGCGGCTGGTCGGAAAAAAGTGGAACATGGTCGTTGTATGTTAAGGATGTTTTTGAAAAACATCTGGACACAAGTTCATCCCTCTATCGGTAAGGATCTCAGCATATCTTTTCCTATGGAAAAGTCAGTATATCAATTAATCGAAGCAATGTTTACGGCATAAAGGGGGAAATGATAATCAAAATATATAAAAGATTATTTCTGATGAACGATGAAACAAAAGGTTTGTTAAAGAAATGAGCTTTGTGGCAAGTTTCGTGTGGAAAGCCACATAATTCGGTGGTTATCTATGAGAATTAAAATAAAGTATTTTTTTTGACCGCACAAAAGTGACTGTTATTCTCTTCGTAATTTTCAGCGACCTCCGTCCAGACAACAGGACAACCTAACTGGAAGGCATAAAATCAGCATACAATTACAGGGTAGAAAAAAACCTCCAAACAATGGAGAATTGCCATGCCATAGAGGGCTTTGCAGGGTACCTGCAAGATTTCAGAGACACTAGTCTCAACATTTCGATCGGGGATGCTGAGAAAGGTGATTACTTTTAATTTCAATTTTCTGCATGCAATAAACCAATTGATCACATGTCACGGTATGTGAATTAAACTTTTCTTTTTTTCCTACAGAACTTGAAAAAATGAAAAAAGGGGAAAGCGATGAATTTAAAGGTGCTTTACACAGATTCCTTGTTTGAGTCATTGTTTTTGATTGTGGTCAAAGTCACAGACCACAAGATTTAGTTTACTTCACTTTTGCATTGATATTATATTCTTACATTTGGTACATAGTGAATTTCAATGTCCTTTTTTACTCCCAGGAATGACAATGAAGGGCCTCATATTTAAAATAAAAGCCCTAAAACAACAGGCTGTGTTTCGCTTTGCCTCCGCCTACAACACAAAACAACATGATGAGGCCAGGGTAAAAAATCCACCACCGCACCCAAACAAACCTGTAAGTAGTCAATAATTTCACATTAATCAGTCCCACTTAAAAATTTAATCAGTTACACTCACGGCAATTTGGTTTTGTCCATTTTCCTTATTAGGGGTTTACAGAACCACTGAATGTGTTAGGTCACCTGCAATTCTTGTTGGAGTCAGAGAGGGGGGAAGATCTCTCCTTAAGGAGATTTTCTCCCCTCGAATATTCTTTCAAGCTCAGTGGACCTGTGGAGTGTCCATTTGAAGGC